ATTAGGAAAAATTTCTTCACTGAGAGGGTGGTCAGGCATTGGAACAGGCTGCCCAGGGAGGTGGTGGAGTCGCCATCTCCGGAAGTGTTCAAAAAACGTGTGGATGTGGCACTTCAGGACATGGTTTAGGGAACATGGTGGCGCTGGATTAATGGTTGGACTTGATGATCTTGAAGGTCCTTTCCAACCTAGTGATTCTGTGATTCTGTGAAAATGTGTTTTTCCTCTGAGGTACACAGGGAGAATTCCAGAAGGCATGACAAGATAGTCAGCATGTGCTAATCCAGAGCTTGAGCTGCAAAGAGTGCAAGCAGCTCACCTAGGTGCAAAGCGCTCTTTCATCTACCATCTAAAGCATCTCCCTACCCATGCCATGATGTCCACGTAGAAATACAGGCCTGGTGTGGAATACATCTGTTTAACAGTCCAAGCTAACAGGGCTGGTCTACATCACAGAGGTAGGCAGAGGCAGTCCATGGGTCTCTATCCCAAGCACAGAAATATAAAAAAACCTAGGGTTTTCCCCACAGATAATGTAGGCGCTTGCTGGACAGTTGAACTTCAGCTCACCCAGTGGAGGCTGCAGCATCCCTCCATTCTTCTCACAGTTTCCTATGGGCTGGATTTCAGCAGAGTCCACCAGCCGCCAGAAGTCATTCTTGTTATCGCTGCCATCAAGGCGCAGGCGGAGGCGTGCGCCTGTCAGGCCCACAACCGTGGCAATGCAAGTGGAGGTGGTGTTCCTGGGGTCCTGGGCTTCTAGTTTCATACTGATCTTGAATTCATTTGCAGGCGGAGTGTATGACTGCAAAGAGAAAAACAAGGACCAAGTTACAGATGGAATTTCCAGTATACACACTACCTCAGTCATAAAGCTTAAGCCCTAAAAGCAGCAAAATTGATTCTACCAAAGACTGACAGCATCCTCCAAGCACGGCACGAGAGCAGACATCACAAAGCAGCAATGAAAGTCCAGCGAGCTCTGGCAGATCTGTGACCCAGACCACCATCTTTTGGTACTGCATCATCTAGACAACTAGACCTACTCTTTTGTCTTAGCCCTCTTCCTGGGAGAATCACCCACCAATCCGAGACCCAAACAGATACTCCTCTGTGTTGCTGCCCCTCTGTCCAGACCCAGGGGTGCCATGCCAATTTACTCCTGTATCCCGTGCACTCAGCATTAGCACCTCTGTGCTCAAGCACCCCATGCCTGGAGCAAGGGGTGCTATTCAATTCACAAAGATCTGGTGAATGCTGAAGAAAATCAGCATGCCCTTGCTGGGCAGGATCCACCAAAAAATGGATCACAGCCTACTCAGAACACCTTCTCCAAGACCCTGTGCTCAGCAGAGAGGAAAAAACATTTTTCTGTTCCCATTCACGCACATCTGAGAATTAAGTCTTCTGCACTACTCTAACATTTGCAGTGCCTGAACACACCTTTTTTATCTTTGCTTCAGCAAACTTAGATTTCTCTTAAGTCTCCAATATCCTTAAGTATTTTCCTTACCCAAAAATAGGGCCTATTCCAAGCACAGAACTCCTGGGTCACTAACGGACCATCACCCTTGGCCTTTCTTGTTTTCATTCACCCTCTTACCTGCTTGAAGCAATGGGCAGGAGCTGGGATGGCGCATGTCTCTTTCAGGTATTTCTCCCAGGTGAAGTGACCTGAGAAGAGAAAAGGATTCAAATAGGAACTGACGAGTAAAAATCTCAGAAAAAGAGACAGCTGGACTCTTAATGCTGGCAGTTCTCTACTTCTCACAGAGGAGGTGCTCACAGGCAACATCTTTTCATCAAGATCCTCTGATGCTTGTGACCACAGAAGATTTACAACTGCAGCTGACAGGGAGAACAAAGCATGGTGCTGCCTACGGCATCTTACTGCCTCTGTGCTGCTGAGAAGGGTCTGCAAAAAGTGAGGATAACAACCTACAACTTAATATAAAATACCCAGCACAGATGGGAATCCGTGGAGTCTTCCAGACAACTGCCTCTTAAAAATCATTCATTAAACACATTGCTCAGTATGGGATTACAAACAGTCACTGCAGGCTAAAAGCAGCCCAAATCGACAGGAAACTTTGCACTGTGCTGACTTTACGATTCTCCTGGTCCAGCACAGACACAGCCTGCCCCACAACTCAGCAGCTCAGAGCAGCTATCAGCCTGTCTCCAGCAATTAGTGGACAGGTCAGCAATTGATTTTCTGAAGTAGACACAGAGTCCATAGCTTGGGCGGGATGGAAGCAGGGATGTTCCAAATGGGGATTTACTGAACAGAGCAGCTCATATCCAACACCAAAGCCCCTTCCATCAAGTGCTGCTGCTGGGGGAAGTATATTTTATCCTTGACTGCACCCTTCCCATGTACAGCAGGAAGGGTAAAAGCAATATGCCATCCAGGGAAACCTGTTATTAAATGAGGAATTAAAAGCTCCCGTGATCCAAGCAAATCATGACTTCTGCCATTTAAACTGAGCAGCTGGGAAAGGATCCTTCCAGCATGACATTAGCTTGTATTCATCTGAATGGCTCCCGCGAGACCGCTGTTTTCAAGTCATTTCAAGAGCAGTGGTGGCAGCACTATTAAGGAGTCAGCTACCGCTTCCCCTATTCACATAAAGTTTTTAATCAGTCTATTTTCAAAACAAAAGCTACATTAAAAGCCATTTTAGCTACTGCAGTGCACATCACACCTCTAAAAATTCAGGCGCTAAGGTCAGCATACATTACTATAGTTCTGCCTCACGTGCACAGAGAAGCCTTAAGGGCTTGATAGTCTGCTAGCTTCAGATAAATAAAAGAACCACTGCTTTCTTGCCACCTCCCATGCAGATGACTAGCACACTGTTAAATACAGTGGAAATGAACAGAAAAAAATACAATTTTGCTGCGACACTGGCTGAATATATTTCTGCCCACAGACTCTGACAGCAGCTCTCCAATTCCTCAGAGCATGCGGTTCCATCCATTGGCACACATTTTCTTTTCAGTCAATGGTCTCACACCAGGGTGAATGAAGAAATTCAGTGATTCACTGAATTTCAGTGATGCTCTCACAATAACAAAATTCTTTTGCCTTAATTGAAGATATGATTTTACACTTGGTTATGACAGTGAAATTCTTTGTATGAATAAATACCCAGCCAAGCCAAACCCAGGCACTCCTGGCATGGAAATGCCTTGCTGCATCCCACCCCTTAACTCTGGTTGCTGATCTGGGCTCATCTGAGACTGTGGTGGGCCTTCAGAGGCCCTTGTCCACGGAGCACAGAAGATGCCTGTGGTGACAGCACCAAGGTGAGGAGTGCGAGCCTCAGCTCCAGGGCCTGAGCAAGCATCTTGAAAAGGATCAGCTGCGCTTGACAATTTTATGTTGAAGAAGAAACCTACCCTCCCCTCAGCTGCTTTCAATCCCTCGCTATTAAAAGTAGTCATGGTTTTAATCCTTCCACTCTTCACTCACTCTGAACCAAGGAAGGCCGTTCTGCTCCCTGCAGCAGCTCATGCTGTAGTCAAGATTGACGCTGCACAATCCCAGCAGGAGCAGTAAATTTCTGAGACAGCTGTGTGCCTCTAAAAATAGTGTTTAGACATGAAACTTATTTGAGATTAATTCTAGAGCCTGTTGGGACCCAACCACCATATGAAGATACACACACAACACCAGAGCTGCAGATATTTACAACTCATGGTTCTGGCGACTTATTTTGCAAAGAAAAGCAGGAGCAGCAGAAAAACTTCTCTAAACTCTAAGAAAGGACAGAGCCAATACAGAAGAGTTAAGCCTGCCTTCCTCCTCTGTTCATTATCAGCTATTTCTTTACATAAAGATTGCACGACAAGCAGAATTATACTGCACTGCTTTTTCAGGATTACTCTCAAACCAGGACAGAAACTGCATACTTGCAGGAACTGGAGGTTGCCACCATTGCCTTAGCGTGAGAGGAAGTCCTGCACAGAATGTAGGGAATGGTTTTAAATAAATTCAGTAATAGTATTTAGCACGATACAATGTTTTTCAAGCATGAATTTCAAAGTACACTTAAACTTAACCAAGCATCATCAGCTTCAACCTAAAAACCGCAGGAAGAGTCAGAAGAAAATGGCATAACACAAAAGTTGGGGTTTTTTTTGTTTGGGTTTGGTTTTGTTTTTTTTTTTTTACAACAAAGGGAGAGCTGCCAATAAAACAGAAAAAAGCAGGAGGCACTTAAGGCTTTTTTAATTGGGGAGCAGAGAACAAGCTCTGAGCTCTGTCCTTGAGAAAGCAAGTGTACAGCTGAAGATGGATACACCACACTTGGCCTTCTCAACCTTAGCTCCTCTGGCCTGTACCCAAATCCTGCTTGCCATACTGATCACCACTCACTTCCAACACTCAGCTCCAAACAGATCTGCTCTGGAGCCTCCACACCAGGCGTGCTGTCAGCCAGGACACCGAAGCTGCCAGGTGCCAGCTGATGCCATTTTACAGGCTTGCTGTGATGGAGGTTATAAGGCCAGAGGGAAACAATGAGAATATCTTGCTTGGCTTTCTCATTAGCACAGGCTACCTGGTATTCTATATTCTCTCAATACTTTTGTTCATATTAATACATTGGATGCCTTACTGTAGAGGGACAGGACATTTTAGTCTGCAAGACGCTCCTTATCTGGCCTTGGCTGGTAACACTGGAGAACATTTTCTGAGTGTTGGTCAAAAAATCCTGGTGGCTTTTCTCCAATTGCCAGTGAATCACTTTGCTTCATGAAAAAAACAGCACTTCAGCTGGGCCTGAAGTGTCCCTTTTACTGGTGATGGAGCAGGACTGTCTGAGGACAGAGCTGACTGTAGGGACTGAAACCCTCTCTCACCCCAAAAAGCAAAGGGGAACACTTGCTCTGCTGCTGGCTTCCAGCAAAATATGCAAAATGCCCTAAAATGACCCTCTTCTGCCTTCTCTTTCATGTTCCCTCCCCCACCTTGCAGAGCACACCATACTGGAAGGATCATCGTTTGAACGGATCGTGTTCCTCCATGTAACATACATCAGGTCTTCTTTACAGGAAGAAACAAGAGAAGGACACTTAATGAGAAACACCACATTTTTGTAATTACATCTGTGAGCTAAACAAAAGCCAAGGATTGCCAACCTATATGACTCCCTGAAACTCAGCTCTGAAAATGCCTACTACGGGTGACTGTGTATCACTTTGCCTGCCTTTGGAAAGCTCCTTACCGTGTGCTTGTGCCAAAGGGAGATACTACTTGCAGGCAGAGTGTCAGATTCAGGCTCTGATGTCTTAACCTTCAAAGCTATTTACTACAAACAAAACACTCCACACACCCAAGGGGTCAAACTACAGCAGTTGTGAACAATGCAGCTCTGCACCCTTCTGTTTGGATTCTCATCATGTTGCATTTAATGTTGATCTTTTGCCCAGAATTTAAATGAACACAGAGTTTCTGTTTATATCTTTAACTGAAGTCTGGTTTGGGCTGCATTAGCATTTCAGCTCCCAAGGGGTCATCAATCCAACTGAAACGATACATGTGCGTTTCAGGTCACATCTGTGAAGGAGAACGTGCCCTACCCAGATCAAGGCATCCCATTAAAGTCTGCAGCCCATATGTGTGTCTGTTAACAAGCATCAACGCAGCACATGAAAGCAGCACAGTTTGAGCCAACTTGATATGAAAATTAGCAGACTACTGTCTCTGCTCACAGACCCAAAGGCAACAGTGGCCTTCTCCATGTCTGGGCGCAGCCTCCCAAGGGGTCAGCTCTCCCATCGCCACAGCAGAGCTCCTTCATGTCCTACTCATTTTAATTTCCAGGCAGTTTGCTCAGTCATCGATCCAGCTGCACATTCTCCACTGGTAACAGCTACAACTGATAACATGATCCCACTTACTCAGTGTCTTGCTCAGAAGAAATGCGATAATGTGTGAGCCAAAACTAATAGCTTTCAAACACCAGGATGCTGCCTGCTTTGCTGCTTCTCAGAGGTGTCGCAATTCAGTATTAGCTTTGAGCAGAAATCCTTTCAGCCTGGATGACAGGGTGGTCCATGCCAGAAAGCTGCTGCTGTTTCACCCTCCTCACTGTGTACCAAAGCTTCGGGCAGTAATAAGCTGCTCAGAGTTTCTTGCAGGGAGACGATCCCCAATCCTCACTGCTACACCATGCCCTTGTCGAGCAGACAGGTGCACACCAGCCTATCTGCAGCATTTCATCCCTAGGCCAGCAAACCCTGGGATGCAGTGAGGGGCGGAGGTTGGTGTGCTGGGTTACCATGAGCGTGCTGGTGGGAAAGCACCCCTCAATCTCACAGAAAGCTCCATTTCAGGTCAGCATTGCCACTGAACAACAGCCAGTCCTCCAACATCTGCAAACGGTGCAGCATGTGGAACAGAGGGGAAACTGCAGTGGAGCCCCCAACACCCTGAAGGCTGACTATACACAGGCCATATGAGCTGTGACGGTGCCCCATAATGTCATGTGGAGCTCAGCATGGGGTGACAGAGGACCCAGGACTACTGGAGGTGCTAATAAAGTTCCTCCTCTTGGAGAAAGTCTCTCCCAAACTGTGCTCCATAGTACCTCAATATAAGGGTAGACAAGGACAGACGAGATGCCCCATAGAATGAACGGCAAGGGCTGATGGTGGCCCACAGTCCAACGTGCCCGAGAACCACCACCCTGAGTCTCACCTCAGGGCACAGTATAACTGAGCCTCTGAGGCACAGCAGCCACTTCAGCTCTCCCCAGGGCTCTAAGCAGCACAGGAGAGCCTTTCATGAAGGCAAACACGTGTTTCCTTAGAAATGGCTTAACTAAGGCAAACACTTAGTTTCTTGTCGCTCTGTACTTCGTGGGAAGTATGGACATCACCTTCTTAAAGTAAGGACATCGCCATCTTATTATAATGATACAGAAAATATAAGGACATAAGGTGATCACCTTCTTATACTCTGTAAATAAAATACAGGCCCTACAATCTTTTACTAATTTATACAAGCCTTACATAAACTTTCTAAAGTTGGAAGTCACCTGCATCTTCCCCCTCAGAGATAGTACGAGCTGCCGGTTTTTATGAACTCAATCTGCATGCGCTATGCTCAGGGCCACAGCCTGCCCGGCCCGTGCACGGGACACATCTCCAAAGGGAGCAAGAAGCAACCAACTCCCACGCTGCACCGCCAGCCCTTGCCCTGTGCTCCGCCAAGCCAGCCAGCATCGCTTCTGCTGGGGTAAAGGCCAAATTCCTGCCACTGGGGAAGAGGGAGCGCGGGTCACACCACGTCTCTTGTACAGCAATGAGGACTGCACTATCCGCTGCTGTGAACATGGAACAAGAGCTTGTGGAGGAGTAAGAGGCTCCTTACGTCCAGGACACATATGAAAATGTGTGGGGCAGTAAGAAACAGATCTGCTCAGTCCTGCCTGATTTAAAAATGAGCCAGGTCAGCTGTGTGCTTACCCTGGTGTCTTCTCAGCCATTTTTTACTGTGGTCAAAATTAAACACACTGTCCAAAACCAGTTTTTACCTGCAAACTAATCTGGCATGCTGCACTTTCCCACATACAACTCAAGAAGTTTTTAGTGAAAAAAAAATGAGACAGGAGACGGGAGAAGGGAGCTCTCTCACCTTGGTACTGGGAAGGAGACTCTGACGTGCGGCCATACTTGTGCTTTTTACCATCTTTCCAGTCTATGGCTGAAACAAGAAATAAAGCATTTATGTCAGTGAAAGAAGCCAGCTAATACACTCTTCAACATTATTTGCGCATGTCACCTGCTTTACAGGCACTTCAAGAGGAGAGGAGTGACCTCCTTGCCCTGCCTGTCATAACCCCAGGTAACGTGGATGATTTGTCTAAATCTATGAAGTGTGCTCCCTTTCTCCACACAGCTCAGGAGAAGACCTGACATGAGGTATCTGCATTTGCATCTTAGTCTCTGCCTAGTCCTCACTAACTAGTGTTCTCCCACAATGGTAAGCAATAATGTAAAAAGCACCAAACTGCTAGAGCTTCATGATTTTCACTATGTGAAGAGGTGGCAAGGCTCGAGAGGAACAAACGTGAAAGCCACTAAAAAAGGGCCCATGTGGATCTTGTATACTAAGGAGTGGTGCCTGAATCTCTCCTTTACCAACTCCAGGTTACTGCACACAAACAGCCTTGGCCTTTGACATGGCACTTCAGGACATGGTTTAGCGGGCTTGGTGATGTTGGGTTGATGGCTGGACTTGATGATCTAAAAGGTCTTTTCCAACCTTAATGATTCTGTGACCCTCTCTGGTGATGGGGAGAGGACTTCTACAAAAGCGTGCACAACTGCCCTTTTCATGCACAGCATCAGGTTACCACCACATGTCCTGTGCAGCTTGTAGGAGAACACAGCAAAGTAGCACCAGCTCTGAACAGCATCTCATCTGAGTTGTCTTTGCTCATGACAGCTTTGGGCCTCAGAGTTGCAAAAAAATAAAGTTCCCAGGACAGCTCTGGAAAGTGATAGAGCTAGAAGCAGGGTATGCCCATCCCTGCCTCTAGCAGCCTCCAGTCCCACAGAGGGATGCCAGATCAGTGTGCCATGGCAGAGCTTGCCCTAAGCGAGCTCCTCCACCCACTGCTGCCTGACCAACACACCCTGGGAGCATT